TTCGGGCGCAGGTTCTTTACGTTCCGAGCGGGTATGGAGTACTTGAAAATGAGCAAAAAAGTTCAAATACCAGGCTTCTTTTCTGCATTCAAAACCAAGGTATCTCATTATCTAAATTCCGTTCAGTAACATTCTAGTGTGTTTTTTTTTCAATTGGTTTCGTTCGCCTATGTTGTCAAGAATTTCGTTTTCATCGTTTTATCCTATTATTCTTTTTTAGACTTGTTGATGTTTTCACATGCGTGTAGCATGTAATAAAAGTTATTCTTTGTGTTTTCCCCAATAGGGTCTCTGTGTTTCAAATGAGATGACGAAGTAGCCGGTCCAAAAAAGACCGATATCGTACCTTTCCCCTATGAAAAATTTTCACTGTTCATGTTTGGAGAGAAAGAGTTTCTCGACCAGGTTCCCTTTTCACACCTTGAAACTGGCCATGCTTACCCTACGGCGGGGTGGCAAATCTCCCGAGAGCCGCCACAATTCCTACCTAATCAAATTCGTTCGTGTATTCGCCCATATCCGGCACCACCCCAATTATTATGAATTACCTAGTCGGTCGAGTTAGGCCGTCAGCTCAAGGGATAATCCACATCCTTCATCAATTTCTAGACGGAACCTTCTCGATGTTGTCATATAATTGTCGGCTCATTCGCTTGTGATTAGTTGTACGGCTTAGTTGGGGAAAATTATAGCCTTATTCAGAATGCTGGAGTTTTTCTGGAGCGATGTGGTAGTCGGTAGACGCAAAGTGTTTTCACTTAAGGCTCCAATTGCATCTCAACTCTTTCCCCTAGAGATCTAGCGACTCACGTCAATATAGTTTGCGTTGATGTAATCAGAGCCACCATTGCTGGACGAGTTAATCCGAACGCGTGAAGCTTCGATAGCACCGATGTTCAAGATACCTGCAAAGAAACGCATGAGTTCATGAGATATCTCGAGGTAACAAGTGACTTTGATTTGAATCGCACCTGTTCTTGTCCAAATTCTTCTCCAGCATGTCCGGTTCCGTACAATCACACGACGTCATCTGTTCCACTTGCTGCAAACACACTGGTTTTGACAGCCCCGTCATACACCGAACTGCTAAGGCTACGTTTCCGCTTTTCACGGAATTACACTTTCAATTGGGCGCACGAGTGCGAAGGCGCAATCTACATGACAAATTCCGACATGCACGCCCATCTCCTCAAAATTTGCCGGAGGTACAGAACAAACGGAAGTATTTTGAAGCAACTTCTCCTTCTGCGCCCACTACTCCATTCAATGAAAGAGGTAAAGTCCCTCACCTGAAATTGGGATGTGTACTTCGCATTGTCGTTCCGCGCCAAATCCTCACAGTAGCCATAAAAAAGTTCCACGGGAATGTCGTCGCATGTTGTTGAATCTGAAACATTATCCAGTAGACCTGAAAACTGGACCTACTTTCAGTAACGGTCAAGAAGCACAAGTTCCATACCAATGATTAACAGGTCTTCCATTGAGCTTCCTGTAACAAAAGGTCTTACTATCTTCGGTCTTCTTGCAGGCAAGTCCTAGGTTTTTCTAATCGATTTGTCTCCTCTCACCATCAGAGGAACAACCGGTCAACGTACGTGCATGGATAGGGAACTAGCTTCAACCAGAATGAAAATTAACACCTTGGAGCCCACGCAACCCGTATTTGGACTGCAGTCTGTAATTTGTGTGGGACCTTATGACCTATATTTTGGAAACAAGCATTGAATTTTTCTTTTGTCTTTCTTCCCATTTCATTCAACAAGATCATCCAATAGGTTTCTGTTGACAGTTTGCTTGATAACAATCCTAAGAAATTCACTGAAGACCTAAGCGGCCGCGAAACGTAAATCATGTGCAGTCTCCAATGTGTTCATCTGGGAACATATTGGCATTTTTAACATTTCCTTTTTTCTTTCAATTTTTGACCACACTTAGAAAGCCATAGCAAACGCTGAGAGTAGAAATGCCTAAAAATAGCTGTTCATGTGACGTGACTGCTTCACAACGGGGATGCTGGTGAAAATAATTCCTCACTGGATCTCATTAATTCGGGTCAAGTTCGCTCAGAAGTGTGGTACAAATAATCCAAGCAGAGTTATTAAGATCATGACCCCAATCACAAAAAAATAGAATTAAAAGGGGTTTTGAGAACATCGATATGAAAAAGGATCCAGCTCTTACAAATTCTACATAATAAAGAAACGTTGAAGACGTACCGTAGACAAGAGGGCTGAGTTCCTCGAGGTAGACGCACTTTTCCTTCTTCTTGATGAGCATTTTTATATCGAGACAGCGGCTGAAACAATAGTAATTACGTTTCAAACACAAAAGTAAGGCAGTGAACTGACCCTTTCAAGGAGTAGATGATCAGGAAACAAAGCACAACGAACAGTACCAACGCCGAGATGGCCACCAGCAGTGAAAAACGAGGAGGACTCGTGCTCTGAAATATTTTGGACGATCTTTACTATTAGCTTTGTTTTCTCTTTTATACTTCCTTGCTTCACGAGTGGTGATTTTGGTTGTATAGTGAGCTTCAGTCCGAGCTACACTTTATTGAGTTTGGGTATTTCAAAAAGAGCTACTGCCATCATTTTCACAGATTCGCTCAAATGTTTGTCCTCTTTCTACAGAGAGACATGGCCAGTTACCTAAGAGAGGGAATTCAAGATAGAGCGAGTGGTACGATCAGACTCCCCGTATGTTGAACGAATATGTAAAAATGGCACCGTACGCAACGGTAAAAGCAAGCCCGTAGCGAACTTTTAAGTAGCGACAATGCCACGACTCCTTGCAAAGAGACCCTGCTATCCCTCTTCCGAATGAATGTTTTAAATATCTAATTGCGACCCATGCCCTCAGTCAATTTAGCGCTCAGATACCCAAAGGTTATTAGATGAAGAACGGGTCAAGATCACTTTTATCTGACAAAATCACAAGGAGAAGGGTCCTCAATTTTAGTGTTCCCTATGATTTCTTTTGCTTTTCACCTTCACTAGCGGTCATCTTCGCGATGCATTGTTTTATTTTCGAGCAGTACTTCACACCAATTCGACCGTGACTCGTGCCTGTTCGGCTTTTAAGATTTGGCCCATTACCAGCTAATTTTTTCGAACATTGGACTGATGTCTTGTGCTCGGCCTTGCGGTAAGTGTCAGGCCTCCGCGAGGCTTACGCATTTTCAAAGGCAATTAGCTATGAAAATCCTACAATCCCATGAGAGGGCTGAATTCTAGAGGCCTCTAATCGATGTTGAACGCTCAGAAGAACAAAGTTTTTACACGAACAGGTCCGCCTTGTGGTTTTTGAATTCGGGAAGCACCTACTTTTTCAGCTCTGAAGGGAACTCTCTAGATTTACTTACATCTCTCAACCTCATGCATTTGCTGTTTGGAGAGCAGACAGATGACTGGTAGGAGCATTGATCTGCAATAAGGAGAAATATCGGATACAATGACTCGTACAGCTTGGTCGGAACCCTCAAAACTCACGACTTAGCACGAAGCGTTGTTCATTGCCCCAGGGTCCTTTCAGTGTTACCCGGCTGTCGACGATGCTTCGTACCATGCACATTACCCTCACCTTGTACTCGTCATGAAGGGCCAGGTCGATCACGTCGAGCTAAAATAAGCGGATACATAGACAATCTAGATAAAGCCTTGTAGGTATTCGATTTATTTAGACCAGATTTCTGGGTAATCATGGTTCACATTCCCTACTTCATTATAAGAAGAGACCTCATAGGTTTTTCAATGGGGCGTAGCCAGGTTGCAAAGACATTTTTGACCCTTGCTTCTAAGTCTTCTAAGGCACAAATGACCCCACAATAATATAACAATATAATATAAGGAGTACAGAAAGGTGTTCAGTTGTTACCTTCGAAGCGCTGGTGTTAAATCGTAATGTGCTTGTTTCGTTAGTGATCTCCACTTCACAGCTCTGCCCTTCGTTGGAATTCCACTGCAGGAGGATGCCATTTTTGCAGTCAAAGGTCAGTGAAGAGATTTCTGGTGCAGCTGGCACTGGAAAAGGTTGGGACTAACAAGGAAAGGCTCTCAGGTCGCCATGGCCATTCAAGAAGAGATGTATACCGCTAGATGTGCCTTTGAACGCTGATCTCAAATCTACCTTCCAAATCTGCTAAACGATTCTCTGAAGGGAGTTATGAAGCAAAACAGCGCAACAGTGGTCGGGATTTGCAGTCAAAACGTCGTAGGATCGGCCCCTGATCGCGTCTACTGTTTTGCCTTCTTCAGAGTACAGCTACATAAAGGCTTTAAATAGCCTATTCAGCCTAATTCTTGACGAACGCAAGGCAGCGAACGGTTCTAGGTTATAAAATAGGTTCATTGAAGCCTTTAGCTGTACTACTGAAGAAGGCAAAACAGTAGACGCGATCAGGGGCCGATCCTACGACGTTTTGACTGCAAATCCCGACCACTGCCGTTGCGCTGTTTTGCTTCATAACTCCCTTCAGAGAATCGTTTAGCAGATTTGGAAGGTAGATTTGAGATCAGCGAAAGGCACATCTAGGGGTATACATCTCTCTTGAATGGTCATGGCGACCTGAGAGCCTTTCTTTGTAAGAAAGGCATGGATGCTTCGTGATTATGCGACGTCAGGGAAAATTCAGGTCGACTATAAACGAATGACGAATGCTTGGCGTATCCAAAAGAGATTGACAAAATAATCTTTTTCTACTCTAAATATTATTTATCCTTGTTGAAGGATCACACATTGGTCCATAAACGCTTACTTCTCATTTATTCGACCTGAATTCTTCAAAAATAGCTATGCTTTGGAATGCTGATTCCTACGCATATTTTAATTTATGCAGATGAGCTAGTCACCGAATAAATAAATGCGTATTTTGAAGCGCGTGCGTTCAACAGACAAACCTGGGACATCAGTCATCACCACGTGTTCGACACTTCGCTGTCCTTCACCTTTCGTGCTTGACGCCGACAGCCGAAAGTGGTATTTCGTAGACGGCTCTGAAGCAGAAGGACTATTTGAAAGGAGACGGTAAAAAACTGCAGAAAAAAGTTTCTTCCCGGAATTCCCTCACGATTCTTCCCCCCCCCCCTTTCCATCTGTCAGCATATTTTTATAGCGACTTATAGGGTTTAGGCAATATAATTCCACAAAGTTACCAGAGGTGGTGGGTGTGTTACAGCTAATGTCCGAACATTTCGTAAAGTTGTGCCATAACGAATCCCCGAGGAAATATGTATGCTCACCGAGTCCGTTCAACTCGAATTTATATGAGGTCTGCTCGGGTCGGGTGACACTCAGGTGATCGACTTTCCACTTCGCATGGCCATGCACCTGCAATTAAACACCTTTAGTCGATGTGAGAAAGAAAAGCGTTCAACTGGAAAAAGAAGCCAAACTTGGATGACAAGGATCAACAATCATCGGAGTAGAAATATTTTATTTATTTATTTATTTATATCTTTATTTATTATTTATCATATACTTGTATGTATGAGTGCCCCTGTTAACTGAGCATGAGAACAAAGGCAGAAGCAAGTGAAGTTGCATAAAGAGTAAAAGATAAAAGTCAGAGTGAATATAGAGGTAGAGGCCAAGCTGGAGATGATTTAATAACATTCTGAACCCCTTTTGTGTTAATTCTAATGTAACAGCAGTACATTAACAGAACTAGACGCCCTATAAAATTTGAAACTATTCAAATTTGGAAACTGCTGAAAGAGGGTGGTCAGCAGATATAACCTACTAACGAACTTACAACTCTCATGCATATCTACATATAGATCCTTGCCTTTCGACTTATTCCTAGCGTTGGTCCCGCGCAATCGCAGGGTTCGCTGCCTTTGTCAGTAGTCGCTAGTTGCTCTGTCCAGGGCTCTTCTCTCGCGGCCGTGACCTCACTGAGGTCCTTCTTGATCACGTCCTTCTACTCTTCTTTGGCGGCTTCCTCATTAAATGTGCCACCCAAAGAACCCCAATAGCTCCGCCTAAACTTTTTTATCCCTCTTGCACCTCCTTCAATGACCAGCAGAATTTAGAGTTCATTTGCAAGCGTGATTACACCTGGATTCCACGTCGGCTTGCAAAATTTTTATGAAGTTGCACCCTTAAAAAATAATCGTTCTCTCTTTTTCATTTTTTTCAAGATGTTTTGAAGCAAGCCAGCTGTGATTTGAATGTCAAAAGATATGTATGCCTAGTATATTGATCGCTTGTCTTCGAAAGAAAACACAGCGATGATTCAATTATTGGAAGCAAAAATGTCAATTTCTTTAAAGTGAAACTTCGCCGTGACGGGTTATCTAGTGCGAGGTAACAGATGCGACTCTCGTTTTTGATGGGCACAATTTGGGGCCCTAGTTGGGTCAAGCCGAAGTCAGATGGTGCCACACCGGTACCAACGTTTATGCCAAGAATGAATGCCAGATTTGCTATCGGGGCGCTGACAATCCCTACACCCGAATTTTCGGCGGTTTTTTTTTCTGAGATCATATTTTTGAGATTATATAGGTTTCAATGAAATGTTCATCGCAACAGACTACGTTTCAAGCAATTATTTCACAATTAATTAAGTATTGCATACATTTCATGTAATAGATAGTTACTGCATTGGTCACACGGGCTGTAAGGAATCACAAGGAAATGAAGTCGTTAGATAACGTTATTGAACACCGTTTCTATCATTGCACTTTCGTTCTGCTCTCGTTATTCAGAAGAAGACCTTAAAGGCATTGATCTCGATTGCTGGTGGGCGGTGCAGTTTGATGAGTGCACTGACATGCCTGCGATGGGGAGGTAGGGCGGAGTTGCTGTTTGGTCACTCATACGCTCTTAACTCCGTTGCCACCAATGAGTTTCAATGATTTCATCAAAACCGCAGCACTCTCCAGCCAGCATGATCACTGCCTTCGAACTTAGACTTGCAGCCTCACGTCAGACTGTTTGAGATATCGAGCGCTCAAGTGGGAGCGTCACATAAATTTACATACTGATTCGGACCGTTGCCTTGTATTTTACAGTCCTAAAATGGTAATCATCAACTTGTTTCCATGTGCTTAAAGGACCTAGGGCGAAAGCTTGCCTCTTCCAGGCATGGAAACGCGACAAATCTTCTGTTCGTCGCGCCGTTCCCGTACTCTCTAATCTTAGCTGAGCGTGGATGAGTTGGCAAATTGATTTACTGAGCTTTGAGGCGAATACTTTGTAATGCAGCTTACGAGCAATGTAGCCAAGCTGAGGGCAGATCGCATAATGGCAATAGATAGGCTCGACTACGCTCCACTTAATTCTCCAGTAGGAAGTAAGGTAGAATTGTTCTTGAACTCGAGAATCAAGCGAAAAATGATGCGAAGGAAAGGAAAGCTAACCTTGTGGTAAAGATGATATCGGGTGATGTGGCCTGTGGCATTGCTCGGTTTTCTCCAGGAAACGGTGATCGACGGTGCACCAACTGCAGGTTTCACATCAATGTGTGCTGGAGCTCCAGATGGAACTGAATATGTGGAAAATGTGTCAAAAATTTCTTACAATTTACAAGCAGCAAGGAAGGCCGATTGTTGGATAGTTGATTTAGGGACGAGAGAGAGAAGACGAAGAGCAATAATTCATTCACATACCGGTCTCATCAGTGAAAAATACTTTTCGAGCCGGTGGAGACTTGCCAAACCCGTTGTCGGCTTCCACTGACAGGGCGTAAGAGGTACGAGCATGAAGACGACAAACTGTGTATGGACTGCTCACGTTTGCAGGCAAACTAAATGTTTGAAAAAAATGTTTTGTATTTGATGAAAATAAAAGGATAAAACTTTTGCCGTTGATCAATTCCTTTCTTGGGATGCGGCACGCATTCTACTTCCATTGTGCATTCGTAGTGGCATTTTAGTGCGATAAGGCCTATACAATGAATTGCGGTGCCATTGTTTTTATTCTCCAGGTAAGTCTAGTACCAATCAACCGACCCCGGAGGGAGGTTGGCCTTAAATGAACCGCACACACCCAAGATCCCGATCATTGACTCTGCGCGTAGAAGGTTATGTATTGCCACTAATACTGCCGCCCTTTTGGGCAAAAATAAAGCTGACTAAAGCAGAACTACTATGGGGATATGTAAACAGCAATTGCAAATAGTGTCAGAAAATTATGCCCCTCAACATTACGCCTTCCCAGAGGTGTTGTAACTGTACCGCGCCTCATGGTAGCAAGATGTTCCTTGATGGCTTTATGAAAACCTTAGGCCATTACTAATGTCACACCAAACAACTCGTGAGGCCCAAGATCAGGAAAAGAAGCACTGAAATATCAAGAGAGCACTGAGGAATGAGGAGCAGATCTTGGTGAAGGATATGATTGAGCTCGAATGTGTGATGCCGGAAAATTATGTACTCAAGCCGAGTGGAACTTTGGATCTTGAGCCACAAAAAACTTCTATTCCATAAATTTTTGATGCGAATGATAAAGTCTTACAGTCAGCAGATTTCAAAGCCGTTAGAAAGTAGAATTTTATGCCAGCAGTTCTCTAAGAACTTGCACCCTATTAGCACTGCAGTGAGATGCGACATCTAATGATCCGAAGAGACTGGAGCAAGACTACAATATTGATTCATCTAAACTTGTTACACGAAAAATACTTCATGCAAAGGGGTTCAGAGGATTGGTTATAGTTGTAGAGCTGGGCACGATCTATAATGCATTAACAGTAGGTCTGATAACCTACAGCTGTGCTACCTCAGGTCAGCACGAAAAATGGACGCAGTACTGATATATCTTGGCTTAGGGACGGTTCCTCTGCTCTCGCAAGAAACGTTCCTCGGGTCACAGAAGCTTGTCACGATTTATTCTAGCTTTCAACGGAATTTCTAAGAAAAAGAAAAAATCAAGTTCCCAAAGCCTTCTCTAATGAACATGAAGTCTATGTTGTTCAGCTGATTAATGCTCCAGATTATTTGATGAATACTAACCTTCAAATGAATTAGTTTATGAAATGCTGCAAGCATCGAAGCCAAACGATTCTAGGCGTCTCGAAATGGCAAAAAGGACGAAAGCGTCGCACAAGAAGATGAAACGAATTCAAGGAATGAGAGAATGAACCGTGTGCTCGACTGGCATTTATACTCGACTGGCATTGTATTAACTCTAGAGAACAACGATAATGACAGTCGGATGGCAAAAATGGAGTGTGTCGAAAGTAAACGCTCAGCAGTACGGATTGCGAAAAATGAATCCTCGAGCAATTTTTCGATCCATTACTTTCAAATATGGCTAATGGCAGAAAATCGATATACATTTTCAGTTGTAATAATTGATCATTAGGAGTGCTAGAGGAGATAACGCTTTCTAATAGTTTGAAGTAAGGCAAGACCGATTCACCGGTAGTGTTGTCATTGAGAGAATTCTTAGTTAAAACGGTGAGAAGGTCCGAAATCACCCTCTATCGCCTGCTGCTATGAGCTTAATAAAAACTTGTGACAAACCTACAGTTGAAGCAAACTCTCATGCGGTCAGGCAGAATCGGTGCCCGACATATTGCGATTTAATGTGGTAAATATAATATAACTAGGTGGAAAAGAAAGTCAGGAAAGGTTTAATTTTGGTGCGACTTACAACTCTCTCCTCGGTTCATTGTCGTTAAGACGTTGAAGAAGCAAGTGGTAGCCAACCAAGTCACCTTGCATATCTGCGGGTGGCTCTACCGCAATGGAAACACAGCCCACCGTGGTGTTTCGAATGGCTAACACCAACGGTGGAGAGGTTGGTGCTGAAACAATTACTTACTTTACATAACTGAACAGATCCTTCAGTTCAAGAGTGGAAGCGTAGATTAGAGTGGGAGCTTTTTAAGGCTATTTTGAGCTTGGTAGTCCCGGTTGAAGCATTATATGCAAGCGTAAACGATACTTGGTGGGTGCGACAAAATCTTTTTTCTCAGGGAAGTTGCGCTTCTCTATATATAATTTGTTCGCTATTTCATTCCATGAAAAATTACATCTACTGAGAGGCTATTACTCGCTCACCACAGCCCAGCTTCAGTGATGAACGGCACTTGTCGATGAAGAAATCAACACTTAAGCTTTGAAGTTGACCTTACTCATATTTCTTTACCAGTTTAGCTCCGCACACTACCGCGTGCATGGCATCGAAGGCTTCGGTGAAACTGGACAGTCGGTGGAGGGTCAAATTCCACCGGTACGAAATAAAATTCTTCGTGAAATGCGTTAGCTGACTGTCCGCTTGATACGCGCGGTGGAGTGCGGAGCTAAAGTGATGTCTGTAAACAACCACCATGCATCGAATGTCAAAATAATTTAGCGGTCGAACAATCTTCAATACTACGCATGTTGGAATCTAAATACCCAGCACTCATTATCATGTTTCTTAAAACATCCATCGGACATTTTTTGGAACTCGGGGGAGTGTAGCGGCCGAATGGTAATTTTGCTGAAGAATGATATGGAAGTGAATTGCGCTATTTCAAATGTGTTTTTGACTTATCTCCACAGTCGTACACATATCGTTGTTATCAGTCCTTATTGGCCGTTATCACTTTCTGTCCCCCACCAAACATGTTCCATCCCACCCTGCACATCCCTTCAAGGAACCAACGCCCCACTGTTGCTGGGACGCGAGCTATGAATTTCGTGGAATTTGCGTTCTAGCGCCTCTTATCAGCTCTTATCAGTCGTTATCACTTTCTGTCCCCCACCAAACATGTTCACATCCCACCCTGCACATCCCTTCAAGGAACCAACGCCCCACTGTTGCTGGGACGCGAGCTATGAATTTCGTGGAATTTGCGTTCTAGCGCCTCTTATCAGCTCTTATCAGTCGTTATCACTTTCTGTCCCCCACCAAACATGTTCCCGTCCCACCCTGCACATCCCTTCAAGGAACCAACGCCCCACTGTTGCTGGGACGCGAGCTATGAATTTCGTGGAATTCGCGTTCTAGCGCCTCTTATCAGCTCTTATCAGTCGTTATCACTTTCTGTCCCCCACCAAATATGTTCCCGTCCCACCCCCTATATCATATCAAAAAATCAGCTCCTAACGACTGCTGCGACGCGTGCTATGAATTTCGTGACACACACACACACACACACACACACACACACACACACACACACACACACACACACACACACACACACACACCACACACACACACACACACACACACACACACACACACACACACACACCACACACACACACACACACACACCCACACACACACACACACACACACACACACACACACACCACACACACACACACAACACACACACACACACACACACACACACACACACACACACACACACACACACACACACACACACACACACACACACACACACACACACACACACACACACACACACACACACACAACACACACACACACACACACACACACACACACACACACACACACACACACACCCACACCACACACACACACACACACACACACACACACACACACACACACACACACACACACACACACACACACACACACACACACACACACACACACACACACACACACACACACACACACACACACACACACACACACATAGCGTTTTATATATAGTAGGGATACCTATGTACTTTGCCTCTTCGGAAAAAGTGACGCACCTTCGCCGAGTGTTCGAAATCGGGTCTCGGGCCCAAAAGGACTGTGTCCAGCCGCGTTTTCTGCTCTGACAGCGAACGCGTAGAGGGTGTGAGGAGAGAGGTTGTCGACAATCACAGTGGTGGCGTTTGATGGCGCTGGGATTACGAATCGCGAGTCGTCGTCGACTGTTCTAAATGGACAGTAGTGAGATCGTGCTTATTTGACAGTTTCTAGGCAGAATAGGAACTATCCTTACCGAACTACAACTGAGAAACGCAGAATGGGACGATGAGCCTTGGCGGTGTTGTGGTTCCAGACTAGAGTCACAGATCGGTTCGAAAACGCCTTCACTTCAGGACTCGAAGGGGCTACTGGTCGTACTGAAAACAAACAACGGTGTACTCTCCTTCCATTAACTTTCTTCCTAAGCTGAACAAGAGTCTAAAGTGTAGATAGGGTACTGAGAACGAACTGTTTCCATAAATTAACGAAAAATGCTATAATGCATAAATAATTCTCAATTAAACGCCAGTTACTTAAGAAAAAGTCGTCAGTGGTAAGGACAAACAATTTGTTCAAAATTTCAATTAGGTCCGACAGTTCTCGCAAAAATATGCGGAACACATGAACTTCGTCTTTTTATCCTTTTATCCGCTCCGCCGATAAAGTACAGTTAGGCTTTATTAACTGTGGAGGTGTACAGAGCGTTTCGAAAGAACGCCTACTTAACTAGCCTATAGCTCAATGATAGGGCACTATTGCCATTGTTCAACTTACATTTCGTACTGCAGCTTGCCAATTTCAGCTTCCGCTCACTTTTGCTGAGCTGCGTTCAGTCAGCAGTATACTGTAGCAGATTCTGCTCGTTTCATTTTTTCAAAGTAACTCCCCAGTTCAAGTTGGTGTGGTAACAGCGACTGGTAATGATGTGTGAAAAGGACGTCTAGACGGGTTGTTCAAACAACCGCATCAAAGCAACTAAGCAACCATGTCTATCTATCTATCGGCTATCTTATCGCTACGTCGTAATCCACGTTGCGTGAGGGCGAGCGCGAGGTATCTCGTCCGTAAGTTCACATTAGTCGCCATCAGATCACTTTGTAAGGCCCTAGCGCCATTGTCGCGCACTTTCGAGCCAAGACATCACATCTGTGATACGTTGGCTACTCTATCCCATCCATTGAACAGATTCTTGGACACGACCTCACCTGGGATTGTTGCTTTAACTGCTATTTTCGGCTGCAGCGCAGAAAGATGCTCAATTGCTGGGGAGAACGCTTCGTTTAAGCGAAAATCCACGCCTTTGCATTCCGGGTACCTTGCCAATTCGTTTCACTGTGAATGCCCCACACACCTTCGTTCAGTTTTCAACACTGCCTTTACCATAGCTAATCAGCATCCATGTGATCGTATGAGCTGGTAAGCAGATCAACCTATCATAAGGCAGTGAATAGACTTGGCGTAGTAAAATGCCTCAGGCATAATTCGGCATCTTTGTAATAATTCAAATGTATAGTCATCTCGACGTCTGGTATGACGGTCTATGTATTTGCCGTCGTCGTTGCACTTGATAGAAGTCGTGTGGATAAGCTGTTTCTAACATACTCCGCTGGATATCAGCAAAGCATGCTGGAAACAGCTTATCGCGCAACTTTTATCAAGTGCAGCGGCCACTAACTGGACACGCCTGATCGGATTTCGAGATATGCACTGTACATCTTTCGTCCTATCTTACAGTTTAGTTGAGATTTGCGATCATGACACGAGCAGATGAATAGGGGTTAATAAGCTGTGTTATGAACAAGAGAGACACGTCCGACATTTCATTAATACATATGCCTCGCTGGCAGAGAATTGGTAACGCTCCCATTTCGTAATTGAGTTTGATCTCATCATCCACGTGCCGAAGGAGAATTTTGGTAGTGCTTATACATGCCTTATGCTTTCCATATGTTGTATGAAATAATGGCGTCAAAAGCAGTTTCACTGGAGGACTTTTATTAAAAATTTCACCTCTACAGACTCAACCGTGAATAACCATTAATTAATTATAACGCGACATGGCAACATGTTCATTACCTCTAGCTCAGCCACATTTCAAACCAGAGGTAGTGATCACGATGGTATGAGGGTGGTGCCTTTTTGATTACGCTAGCGAATGTCATTGGTGGGACGCTGGGGCTCTGCTCAGAGCCAGCAACCTCATCAAAATCGCACTGCCCTCCAGTTGTCGTTATCACTGCCTTCAAAAAGCTTGCTCGTGAACATACAGCGACAGCAAAATTTTTCATTGAATTTGCCATTTAGTGCCTTCGTTGTCCTTCATTCTTTTGTTTCAAATGCCCCTTTATTCGAATTCCCATTTAGAATGTGATGGAGTATTCGAAGCGAAGATGTCAAGCTGAAGGTCACTTGGTAGTAGAGAATTACATTAAAAACGTAGTATATTGATATTACAACGGTTGCAATGCTTCTGATGTTTCGAATATGCTCATGAGCTCCGACTCCATGACGAGGCAGAGCTGCCGAATGGTGAATTTGGGAAAGCACGTAGAAATCCACTGTGGTCTGACCCTATGTGAAGTCGTTAGCCACTGCTTCTGAAGGAAGCAGCTTGCTCATTTCTTTCTCTTCGTCTTTCAGAATTCATTCAAAAACGAGATATCTTCCATCTAAAGATCTCGTATAGAGCACAACTAAGTCAACTTTCAAAATCGGTATTGCTCTATGGATGCCGCTGCAGACGAAGCGAGGGGGCTCCTCAATCAACGCCAGTATCCAAGTCTCGTAGCTATTGTCCTCTTCAACGAGTGGCCGGTCAATTGAATTGACGAAATGGCGATGGTGCCATTTAGGAGATGCCCCATTTATAGTTGTTCCATTGGCAACCCTCAATCAGACACGAAGGACCGGCGCCTCAAGTTGAATAGCGTTAACGGCTCGTAACGAGGAGGAATGCGGCCGACACTTGCGGCTTCGAGAAGCCATTACACAGCGATTATCGCGTGATTTTTACGCGAATCCTCGGTCATTTGCAAGAATAACATGCATACGTGATGCGAGCTGAGAATCCCTTGTGCAACAAAGCAACAACACGGCTTATTTTGCCTTCAACAGGCGGATACTAATCAGGGTTTCCTGAACA